CAAGAGTTAGAGTTGATGTTGAAGATTTGCATTGATCTTATAATTGATGACATTCGTTGAAGTCATTAGCTATGATAGGCAATATTCAAGAGATGGTGCTTAGACGACTGTAGGTTGGAAGACCAGTTTAGGATGATAATGATTGGAGGATAAAATTTGAGCAACATTGGTCAGAAGAACAAAATAAAGTGATCAATGTTAGATGATGGTATTCTATCGACCATCGTTAGAAAAATGTAGTCAGGTGATGGTTGTTCAAGAACTGAAGATAGGTGGCGGTGGTTAAAGAATGTATTAAGCTAATAGTGATGGATCATAATTAGGTGATCATAGGTTGGGTGATTGTGGTTCAAGGATCATAGACGGATAACGAAAGTTAGAGCATCATAATCGAACGACGGTGAAATAATGACCATGATACAATAATCATGGTCGAATAATCTTAGTCAAATTAAGATGATTTGTTGGTGCTCATAAGGTGGTCTGGCGGTGGTGGTTTGGCTATGGTCCAACATGAGTGATTGAGGGGTAATGCTTAGGTAGAACTTCTAATTCTTCAAACGTCGAGTTATATGGAATCTCAAGCTAAGATCCAATCTCCCTGTACCCCTTGATGTAGATAATATGAGCCTATTTATATTTTTGTTAAAATAACATGCACTTTAAATGTAGAGAAAATTTGTAATAATATATCAAATAGTTTGCATTGATTCAATATATTATAGACCATTCTATGTACGTTTAAGTATTTTAGTTATTTCAGAATTAAATAATCTTGCCATTTTGATTCTCGTCAATGAGAACTTAATTCGAAGAATGTTTGGTTATCCAATTTATTGTTTTTTTTTTTTTTAATTTCAATTACAATCAAGTGCTTGTTTTGGGCTTGTTGTGTTATGGAATATTGATGGCAGTAGAGAAATATAAAGTTTAATGTCTTAACTTTATACAAAGATCCAATACACAATTAAATAAAAAGATAGGGTGCAATGTTTATAAGAGACACCAAGATTCAAGATTTTTACGTATAAAACCCTAAAAAGGAGAAAAACCATTGGACTAGCCCAGTATGAATGAATGCACTAGTATTTGTAGTTGATTACGAATGAGGCCCTGCATTGGAGGGAAGATCGACCATGACTTGATGTAACAAATACATCATATAGAATGCATTACATTGTGGAAATTGGATGAATAAGATTTGATATGTTAGTTTGCTCGGCTGGACCATAGTCGACAGGTGGCGGAGGTCAGAAAGGCTGTATTCGGATGACGGCGGTCATAATGACCATAATAGCGGGCGACAAAGGTCAAAAGGATCGTTGTCAGTAGGTGACAGATATCATAAAGACTGTTACCTGAGAACAATTGGAACCCGAGTGGTAGTTCGGTGTCAGTCGATGCACGATTGGAAGTTTGTCGTTAGTCGGCGGCCGAGTGTAAGTTCAGTGTTAATCGATGGTCGGGCAGAAGTTTGGCATCAGTTTATGGACGGGTAGAATTCTTGTGTAAGTTGGTAGTCGGGCAAAAATCTAGTGTTATTTGGTGACCGAGGAGAAATTCGACGTTAGTTGATGGCCAGACAGAAATCCTGCGTGAGTTAGTGGCCGGGCAGAAATCCAACGTTTGTTGGTTACTGGGCATAAGTCCACGACAGTCGCTTGCCAGTTAAAGTCCGGCGATGGCCAAGGAGGAGTCTGGTGGCAATAGAATTATTTTCTTTATCTTCTTGCTTAGGCCCCCTTTCATGAGAAATGAGGGGTCTATTTATAATTTTGTGAGAGTGGCATAAATAGTAAATAAGAGGAAGATTAAGTGTAAATTGGGAGTGTTTTGAATGGGCGGTCGATGTTGAACCCTGATTGTGGAAAATTTACTGGGCATTTGATTGTCTTAAATATATATCAGAAATTAACAATCTTGTGCTCATTGGATTTGTCTCGTCGAGGCCCTCTATTCAACTATAAGCATGTCACGTTTGGAAACCATTTGGTAATCCAAATTATGGTTTGAACCTTCCAAGTGTGCTTCAGGCCTTTGTTTGGACTCATTTGGGCTCGGATTAAGTCGAAGTTGGTGTCATTGGTTTCGTATTTTTGAGACGTTTAGTTTGACTGTAAGTTTGCTGAAATTGAAGTTTGGATGGTCCCAGATTTGATTTTAGAAGTTACCAACTTGCTATTTCCTCAAGATTTGTCTTGTTCAAAATAATGTTTTGATGATATATCCGATCTTATTTTGACTTGGATAAAATCATTTTCGGTGTTAATAAGTTCTTCTCATTGAGATATTCAATTCAAATATTAATTTATTAAAATCAGAATTTGAATGATTGTAATTTAATTTTTTTTGTTTATTTAATTATACATCAATCCGATCAAATAAATTTTTTATAGCATATCATTTATAATAAAAAAAAGGAGTGAAATGGTCAACATCATCAATCAATAATTGAAGCTTCGTAGAAGAAAAAACAGATTCAACAAGGGTAATTAATAAGCAGAAACTTTCAATTAGAAATTGTTAGTATACTCGATTAAACTCGGTATATTTGCGAACCGGTATTACGATAAATATTTGTTACTAAACTTAATATTATTTGTTTGTTAAGCTAATGAATATTTAAAAAAGTTAAAAACTCATAAGTCATAATTAGCTTGATTAATCTTATATGTTTAAAAACCAGTAAGTTCGAAACAAATCGTACATGAACTTTGATCATTTAAAAAATTAATCATACTTAGGCTTCGTTTGGAAAGATTTTCTAACAGCTTTTTTAAATAATTTTTTTATAAAAATATTTTAATAATTATATTAAAAATTTATTTTAAAAAGAAATAAAAAAACCGTTCCAAATGAAGCCTTAAACACGATCAAAAAGCTCGAATTGAGCTTGAACCAGTACCGACTCAGCTCGGCCGGTTCATTTGTAGCTCCACTAGATGTTAAATTTTGTCACTAACATGAGAAAATGAGACTTAAATTTAATATATTTAAAATTTAAATAAAGAATCATATTAGTCAATTTTATAATAGCGAATGTTTGTTTTCGCCCGCATAAATTCGCGTGAAAGCGAAAATCCCCTCGCAAGTAAAGGAGTATTTTGAAGAGCCGCCAACCTAAAGAATTATTTAATAACGAAATCAAACTTAAAATTTGAAAATTACCTTACTGCCCTTATATTTAGTACCATTAATAAATTTAATTTAATTTTAAAAGAAAAGAATAATAAAAAATGTGAATTCTTCTAAGTTTTCCGTAAATTACTCAATTTAGCGATCTCATATTTTTTAGAATTTTTTTAAGGACTATGGTGTTAATTTAAATTAAAAATATGAAGCAAATTTGTCAAATCATTTGACATATTCTAAAGAATTTGATTTGACTAGTTCTTTAGAATGTGCCAAATAATTTATCTTATTCTTTAGAAAACGTCAAATCACATTTGACGCATTCACCACAATCAGCTGAATTAAAGTCTGAATTTATTATAGCAATTCGACAAACATTTTGATGCATTTAATGAAATGTGCCAAAGAATTTTGCGTTTTCAATCCATTGAATGCATCAAACTGTTTGGCTTATTTTAAATACGTCAAATAGTTTGGTGCATTCAATGGAATGCACCATTCTATTTGGGTAGTCTGCTTCTTTTAAATTTTTTTTTTTTAATAATATGCTCTTATTCCTAATTTAAATTATACATCATGCTCTTATTTATATATTCAAATTTTTTTTTTTACACTTTAATTTAAGAAAATAATTAAAAAAAGTGAAAAGTTCCAAATATTATGAGAATTATAGTACTCTTCACAACGAGGACATGACAGCGGCAAGAGAGCCAAAGCTGTTGAAACTTGAAACCATGTGAACTACGAAACAGGGTCCACACACTTCACATGTATTCCCAGCTACCGATTTGGTTTTTCTGTTCTTATATATATTTATTTTTATTTATTTATTTTTAAGTATTTTTTTAGTCATTTAATATAAATTTAAACACATTGCATATATAATTTTCGAATCCAAAATATCTTAATTGATAGCTAAAATTCTCAATCAATAAATAAAAAAGAAATGCATGTTATTCTATTTTTTATAAAATTCATGTTATTTATGAAGACCTAAATGACCTAACAGAATATTCTTCCTTTTCTCTTTATAATATTTCATCAATAATGCAATGTGAAGAATATTGGGTTGGAAAAGCCAGATCAATGGGTTTAAAAAATTTTGATTTTTAAACTATATGAAATAATATGTTTTTTTATTTGAAGATATTAGAAGAATAATGAAGATATTTATTGCTAAAAATTTTAAAGAAAATAACTAAATTATATTGCTAATAAAATCACATAAAATAAATTAAAAAGAAAAAAATAGAAAAAAAGAATATCATAATTTAATTTGAAAAAAACTCGAAATCATCATGATTTTTTTTAAAACAAATACTCATAGTTGTGATTATAAAAAAAAAAAATGCATTTGCTTAAATTTGTTCAATTCTATGATTAATTATTCTCTGTGAATGTCAAAAACTGTCCGGAGATCAATCAGAATGTTTCACGTGACCCCTGGGCTCGATACAACGGCTCGTTATAACGATTCGGTACCATTAACGTGACACATTCTAGTTGGTCTCTCATATCCACAGTGAATAATTTCTCTCGTACGGGTGGCCATTTAATTGGGCTAATGTGCCTACTTTGAATTTATTTCTGTTCGGTCATTTTTTTAATTATTTTATTTATAATAGCACTTTTACAAAATTATGCTGATATCAAATCGACACGTTATCTGAAACGGCAGAGATATATTGCATTGGATTTTTTCACTTTTTAGTTTTTATAAGTAATATCTTAGAACAATAAACAATAAAACAAATAATAATAATAATAATAATAAGCAATTGAATTTATAAAACTAAAATCAAACACAAAGTTGAACATACGACCGAACCGTCTCCAAATCACATAAAGCTTTAAAGTTTTTGGACCGCCCGCCACGTTTTATAAAACCCGGCCGAGGAAAAACCTGTACGCTGTTGCCTCCTTCTCAACTTCTCTTCTTCTATACGCCACTGCTTGCAGCCGCTGCTGCAGAGCTTTTTACGGCTTCTTTCTCTCCCTCTTTCTCCACCGCGTGCCGGGGAATGCGTCGAGATGAGGAGATCTGACCCCGATCTCGCCGTCAAACGCAAGAAGCACGCTGGCCGGTCTTTCCACCGGAAGCATGTTGAGGACGGGTAGACTCCTCCGTTTCATCTCCTTCTTCCCTCTCTTCCCATCCTCTTCCTCTTAAAATCAGAAATTCCACACCAAAATGGAAGATCTATCTTCACTATCTCCAACCACAGAAGGCCAAAACGTCCTCCGAGGCCGCTACGAACTCGGCCGTGTTCTCGGTCAGGGCAGCTTTGCCAAGGTTTACTTCGCCCGGAACCTCTGTACCGGGAAAAACGTCGCGATGAAAGTGGTCGGAAAGGAGAAGGTCATCAAGGTGGGCATGACAGAGCATGTGAAGCGCGAGATCTCTGTTATGAAAATGGTTACCCACCCTAACATCGTCGAGCTTCATGAAGTGATGGCAACGATATCCAAAATATATTTCGCCATGGAACTCGTACGCGGCGGAGAGCTCTTCTCCAAGATCGCCAGATCCGGCCGTCTCCGCGAGGATGTAGCTCGTCATTATTTCAGGCAGCTGATATCGGCAGTCGATTTCTGCCACTCGCGCGGCGTGTACCATCGAGATCTCAAGCCAGAGAATCTATTACTTGACGATGCCGGCAACCTCAAGGTCGCCGATTTCGGGCTCTCCGCTTTCGCCGACCATGTACACACTGACGGCCTGCTGCACACCACCTGCGGTACTCCGGCTTACGTCGCCCCAGAGGTCATAGGGAAGAAGGGATACGACGGCGCGAAGGCCGATCTTTGGTCATGTGGAGTCATCCTCTACGTACTTCTCGCCGGCTTCCTTCCCTTCCAGGATGATAACATCTTCGCGATGTACAAGAAGATCCGCTGTGGTGATTTCCGATGCCCACCCTGGTTCTCTTCCGACGTCCGCCGTCTCATCATCAAGCTGCTCGACCCCAATCCCAAAACTCGCATCACGGTGGCCAGGCTTGTCGAAACCCCCTGGTTTAGAAAAGGCCCGATTCCCAAAGCAGTTATCGACTTCCCAGTGGCGTCAGCGAAGAAAGACGGCGAAGAGCCTCTGAAGCTTAATGCGTTTCACCTGATATCTCTATCTGAGGGGTTTAATCTATCGCCTCTATTCGAGAGCGGTGATTGCCGGGAGGAAGGGATGAGGTTCGTCACCAAGGAGCCGGCGAGTGGTGTGATATCTAGGCTTGAGGAGTTGGCCACAAGGGCACCTGGAAGGTTTCGGGTGACTAAGAGCTCAGCAGCAGGGCTGAGGCTAGAGGGGGTGGAAAGCGGCCGTAAAGGGAGGCTTGCAGTTGCCGCCGATATCTTCGCGGTGGCGCCGTCCGTGCTGGTTGTTGATGTAAAGAAAGATGGCGGCGATTCACTTGAGTACCGGCGGTTCTGCAGCAATGAGCTCCGGCCAGCGCTCAAAGACATCATTTGGGCCTCTTCTGAAGCTCAGACTACCTCCGGCGCCTGAGCCGCCTGTGTTATCGTCAATTCAACTGTTCTTTCTCCAGCCTACGTACTGTACAGCGAGTATTTGATGAAATAAAAGGCCTGGTGTGAGATATCTTATTTGCGAGCTCCAACAAGTCTGGTGTGATTCTGTATCTGTCCATTTGCTGTATATCGTAAGTTATAAGTGAGTCCCTAAGTTCTAAAAATTTGATTTTGATTAGATTGTACTATGCATGTTATTAATGAATAATGCTTGTTTGATTCTAATCTTTTGTTCAAATGGTGAGGTTTATCATGATTGTTGCATTTTGTTACTTTGAAGTACTTCCACTGTCTTTTGGTTGTTTGATATAAGAAACTAAATTCAGGAATCCTTTCTATGGATTGCAGACATGATATCTTAGAATCATTTTAAATGCTCAACATATAATGCTTTAGAGCTGGTTGGAATTGGATTTCAAAAGAGTAGCTATATACACTGTATTAGGCTTGATTTTGAGTCGGTCTCATTTAGTAACTAGGCTCATTATTATTATTCCGTGCTAAAAGAAAATATTCTCTGTAGTCATCGAATGGAGTTCAGAGACGTATCATGAAGCACGACGTCATTTTTTTTTTTTGCTATATACCGGTGTTATGTATCGGGTGACTTGATGCATCCTGATTCAGCTGTGGACCGTCCAGTGACGATACAAAATAATTTCTCCTATGCTAAAAACTTTGATGCATTCGAGTGAGAGAGTTCTGCACAAAGATCTCAAGTGTAAAGGAGAAGTAAAAGTTTTAACAATAAAATTTTGGGATGAAGAAAAACTAAAATTTCGAGCGTCCGTAAAATAATTTTGTAATGTGAGCAATCTTGGGCTCATTAGTTTCGTCTTGTTGATATACTCGAATTGATTATAAATATATCAAATTTAAAAATCATTTGATCCTCTAAATAATATCGCAAAATCTCTAATTAATATCACAAAATTTTTAATTACACTTCAAGTACTAAATCTAGCTCATTTGGACTCATATTTGATTACTTTTTTGTGTCATTGGATTGGACTGATAAGTTTGACAACAAGTTTTCAGAAATCAAAATTGAGATAATTTGAAGCTAAATTTCGAAAATTTCTTGCTTCAAATTACACTGAGATTCATATCTGATTAAACTTTTATGTTTTGTGTGGCCAACCGATCATATTCTTAAGTTTTGCATGTTCTTATTAGGTATATATACTTTAAGATAGAACCTTACCCTTATTTGGCTGATGCATAATACTTAGCTAAAACTAATTGGGGGAATTTGGGCAAATTCAACCACCGTTAGGTGAAGTTCCTGACTGATCACAGGACAAATTTTATTTGAGAATCGTCTGATATTAAACTACGAATATTTTATAGCTATGATTTGGTCGGTTTGTCTCACCAAAATTTGGAATAAAAAAAAGTAACGTACAAATCAATTATTTTTTATTCTTTTTATTTTTAAGTACCCTTCTCTCTGGCTGAACAGAGATGGCATGTTCGAAGAAATTTGAAGTGATGTAGTTTATTGATAGATTGAAATAAGACAAACATTAAACAGCAATTTTTTTGTTAATGTAATTGGATCCAAAGCATTAATAATGATGATATTAATAATAACATCTAAATGTACCTATTTATATTTAAAATATTAGAATTTGTATATTTAATATTTAAATGTAACTAGTTACATATGTATGATATTAAAAACATCGAAATGAAATAAAAATAACACGTCTAGTTACCATTTCATCATCTTGTCTACATGCCACATGCTCGGTCGACCATCATAATCAATCACATGTTTCTTTATACGTTGTCAGTCTTTACCTCTAATGTTTCCTCTTTTCGATCTCTTGGGGTTCATTTGGGATGACTCCAGCTTTTTGCAAATGTGGTTGTAAAATTATTGTGGAGAAAGTAACTTATTTAAAAGATGTTGCAAAAAGCAACTTACTAGCATAATTTTTTTAATGGAAACGATAAATAATCAGTTGTCAAACATAAACTATGGTTGCAATCTACAGTCAAAAGTTTTCTCAAATGAAGTCTTAATCCCTCTCTATCTATGAGCCTATTTCTCTATATCAAATGGATTTCCCAAGTGAAGGCAACCATGGGTTAAGCAAGTGTGTGAAGAGAGTGGCATTCGAACAAGAAGAGAAAGTCTCATGTGAGCTCATTGAGAGAAGACACTGACGGACTCAATTACGTACGTACCAGATTCGTTGACTATATTAACAAAATATTAGATAATTTATATATTAAAATTTAAATGTTAAATATATACTTATATTCATTGTACTTGATTTTCAATTCCCCCTTCTTCTTTTCTGATATATTCAGGCAAATTAAGACAAGTTAATATACATATCATATATGCAAAATTCGAATCCAAATCATCTTGAATGATAAATCAAAACTCTAAACTAAGAGAACAAGGTGAGCTGCGTTCTCCCTGTGATCGTTATTTTCATGCACCTTACATTTTGGGTGGAGAAATAATTAATCTATAGATTTTTTTTTCTTGAGAGGCTTCAATTAAGGTTGAGATTTTTTTTAAGAGAATCCCCAAACAGTTGAAATTGACTGAAGGAACCAATGATAAAGTTGTGATGGGAGATCATTGGAGATTAAGACGCCACGGCGGGAGTTCCTTGGAGAAAGCATTGATAGCGACCTCGTCATAAGAGCACAGTGGAGAAATCATCAACAGAACAAGCGATATTTAAAGAAAAAAATGTGTTCATAAGATTTGCAGTTTTGATTTAAGGGGGGTTTGTGAGTATTCGTGATTTAGGCTTCGTTTAGGATGACGTTCTTAATGCTTCTTAAAGTTGCTTTAAGAAGCAGTGAGAAAGCAGTCCCAAACGAAGCCTTAATCAATGAATATAGACGACATTAAGGATTCAAACTAAAAAAAAAAAGTAAAAATTTAATCCAGTCAATCATGAGTTGAGCCGCATCAAGCTAAAACTCGAATTTGTATAACATGTGAGTTATTATCTGATCTTTGCTCTACCTCCCATTTGATAAACTTATAACAAAGTTAAATTCGAGCCGACTCGGCTCATTTAGATCCCTAGCCTAAGTTAACTATTTGTTCTGAGAAATTTTTGAATCCCAAATGAGTAAAATTTTGCTCACCGGTATTTCAATCTGAAGTCAAACAAGTGAAAAAAGTGCTGGATGGGATTTGCGTTATTTTAGATTCTCCAATCAATTGTTAGGCGTCTATGATAGCACCATCAGGACACATTAAAATTCTCATCTGCAAGTCCTCCATCAGCATCGATCGCATGTTAATATATTGTATAGGGTGTTAGGAGCTCAAATTATTGGTAGTAGGTCTGCTTTCTGCTACTTTGTCTATATCAAAAACCAAACAAAGGATGAAGAATTCGATGAAAAATCCAAGTTCCAAGTTCAGTTCTTAGTTTAACAATGAATTAAAGCTATTTTAAGCTAAAATGTGAAGCCTAGCCAACTAAGTATATCAGTATATTGCTTCATTTACAAAGAGTGTGATGTCATGCAAAACAATATCACTAAAACTTGGATTAATACACTAATAATTTTCACCTTGATCTAAATTTTACAATAAAAAAAATAATGAACAACGTGTTAGCGACCATATTGAACTCTCCAGCTTGCCTAAAGAGCTTGCTAGGGGCTTATATATCTTGCAGATGAGCTTGCTAGGGGCCTCTTTGGCAAAAGAGCTCGCCAATAATTCAAGCATCCCACAATAATAATGGCTAACTCGCCATTTTTGAAAGGCTGGTGAAGTAATCGCTCTTGCATAAGAAGATGACATTACAGAGACCTGAATTATAACAGCTTAACATATCATAATTCGTTATAATCATTTTAAGAAATCCAAAGCACATTTATGTATAAACAAGCCTAGTGCCTCCTAAAAGATAAATGATGTAATGATGTTAAGGCTTACTATGTATTTCTTGTAATGTCAAATCTAAGATCTATAAAAGGAGGTCCCACATATGGTAAAGGGAGCCAATTATTGGGATCCACATTCAATATTTTTGGATAAATATAAAAATTTATTCTCCCTCATACTCTCTCTCTCTCTTAACTCTCATATTTCTCTTAAAAGTACTTTGTAAAAAGGTTTAAGGCTTCGTTTGGGATGGTTTTTTTACTGCTTTCTAAAACGAAGTTTTAGTATAAATTTTTTATTTTTGTATTAAAACTCCGTTTTAGAAAGCAATAAAAAAGCCGTCCCAAACGAAACCTAACTGCTGTTGCACACTTATAAATTTGAACTCAACACACATTTTTACAATTTTCTTTTACTTATAAAATTTAATCCATTTTCTTTCCCTCTCTCTTAAATTATGATGTGGTACTGTTTAACTATACCGCTCCGGGAAGAACAGCAGAACGCCACTACTCATCTATTTCAACTACCTTAGTATCTTTTTCTGTTATTTGTAGTATTAGGAATATCCTATCCACTACTCTATTAGCTGGCACTAGCCTTAGCCTTTTTATATTTTCGCTTTTCTAAAAAGACTGATATATGTAGGAAACCAGAGGAGGAAGGGGTAGAAGAAAGAAAAATACATTTTCACTGTTCTATTGCTTCTCTGCTTTGGTTCTTGTTTTTGTGCAGGTCTTCAGTTGTGGAGTTCCAGTTGCATTGGTTGCCGGTTCTTACACCAAATTATCTCTATCACAATCAGAAGAAATCAAACATTATGTTTAATTAAAAAAAAAATATTATAAAAAATTTGGCCATAAAGCATATTAAAATATTATTTCCCATTTTAAAAGGAAAAAAAAGGGGAAAATTATCGCTAGTCTTAAAGATGTGCTAGTGAACCAATGATCCAGAGAGAAGAATAAAAAAATAATTAACATTCAATGAATTATATTATTCATTTGTATTGATAGGAAGAAGACTTCAAATTTTATTTAATTTAATTTTTGTAAGAAATAAATTCGTACTAATCATGAGAATTATTAGGCTTAAAATCTGTCACCAAAAGGAACAATTATTACGTCCTCCGACCGGACGTAGAGCTACGTCCGGTCGGAGCTAAAATCGTGCCAAAAAACGAGAAATACCAAGCAATATCAAACAATAACGAGGAATACCATCATGTGAAGACCCAATACCGAGTTATACCGAGCTATACGAGCAATACTGAGTTATACAAAAAAATACTGAGTTTTTCCTAGAAAAAATCTGTATTTTTTGTATAACTCGATATTGCTCGCTATTGCTC